GGAAGGAAGGAAGGAAGGAAGGAAGGAAGGAAGGAAGGAAGGAAGGAGAAAGAGAAAGATTATAAGGGAGGAAAGCAAGGAAGGAAGGCAGAACAAAGCAATAGCACTTATATACCACTTTATAGTGCTTTTACAGCCCTCTCTAAGCGATTTACAGGGTCAGCCTCTTGCCCCCCAACAATCTGGGTCCTCATTTTACCGACCTCAGAAGGACAAAAGGCTGAGTCAACCTGGAGCCGGTCAGGATCGAACTGCCGGCAGCAGGATTAGCCTGCAATGCTGCGTTCTAACCAACTACACCACCACGTCAGTCATTCATTCAGTGGCCATTCAAAGTTACAACGGCACGGAAGAAAGGGACTTAAGATTGGCTTTCATCTTTGCAGCATCCCTGCAGCCACGTGATCCAAATTCAGAGGCTTGGCAACTGGCATGGACTTCTGACGGTGGCAGAATCCCGGGTTCACCTAATCACCATTTGTCACCCTTCCCAGCTGGCTTCCGACAAGCACCGTCAAGAGGGGGGAAGTTGGATTCGTTTAATGACTGCATAATTCACTTAACAACTGCAGTGACTCGCTCAACAACTATGGCAAACAATAAATCAATTACTAAGGGTGCCAACGGCAGCGTCGCTTTGCTTAATGACTACTGTAAAAACAAAAACAAAAAACCATGGGCTCAAAATTGTGATCGACTTGTTTTTACGACCATCAGAGTTATGGCCATGCTGGGCCAGCTTCATTCCAGTCGAAATGTTGCATTTTTTAACCACGAGATAAGGCCAGCCGGCGATAAAAGCCATTTTATCTCCTCTCTCCGACCGACAGGAAACCTCATCTTACCACATGCCCAAATACGGTGAGGTGACGGAAGGGAGACTCCAAAAGGGTGTTTCAATTCCTCTGGACTCCGCAAACACTTTCTTATCACTTTCCACGCTTGAGAGAAAAGCCTTTTATCCCCGGAAGATCTCGCAAGGGTTTTCGCCTGTCTTCCCCGCCAGGATCTCGTCATCCATCCAGGAATGAATCAAGCCCAATTCTGTTTAATTTTAAAACCTTCCCACTCACCCACTCACAAAAGTTGGGAAATTTTATTTTTTAAAAAAATTATCTTATTTATTGGCATGTATCTCACCTTTATTACGCTCTTTCGGATAAGGTCATGGGGTTTGTGTAATTTTTGCCCCACTGTGTAACTAAGGATTGCATGGGGAGTAGCAATTAAGTGCTAGAGCCCACTGTAACTATATAGCCAAAAAGGCATTAAGAGTCGTTAACTTAATCCTATGTAGCTTTTTCTCTGGTAATATTACACTACTAACTAGAGCATACAAAACACTTGCTAGACCAATACTTGAATACAGCTCATCAGTCTGGAACCCGCATTACGTAGTTGATAATAATACAGTTGAGGAAGTCCAGAAATATTTCACAAGAAGAGTTCTCCACTCCTCTACCCGTTGCAGAAGACCTTATGCCACCAGACTCGAAATTCTAGACCTAGACAACCTAGAACTACGCTGCCTTCGGTCTGATCTAAGTATAGTATATAAAATCATACATTGCAATGTCCTATCTGCAAATGAATACTTCAGCTTTAATCATAATACAAGAGCAAACAATAGATACAAACTCAAGGTAAACCGCACCAAACTTGATTGCAGGAAATACGACTTCAGCAATAACAGAGTGGTCAATGTCTGGAATTCTCTACCTGACTCTGTGGTTTCTTCCCCAAACCCCAAAAACTTTCACCTTAGACTGTCTACTATGGACCTCACCCCTTTCCTAAGAGGGCTGTAAGGGGTGTGCATAAGCGCACCAACATGCCTACCGTCCCTGTCCTACTGTTTCTTTTTTATTTGATTCCATTTCATGTATTCATAACTATGTTTATTCTTATACCTGTTATCTAATACTTGCTTGACAAATAAAATAAAATAAATACATTTATTTATTATTAAATTTATATGCCATCTACCTCACTCTAAAAGCGAGTCTCAGTGGCTTAAATCTGGCTATGGTTGGAAGTCCTGATATTGGTCTTGCCTGTATCTCTCCCCGCACCAAAAAAATTCTGATGTTCTGATCCAAATACAGACAGACAATGGAGCCTGAAATTTCTGTCATTTAAGGAGTCGCTCCCTATTTTACGAACCTTTTCTTTTAATCAGGAGGTCCTTAAGTGAATCTGGCTTTCCCTCCATTGAATTGTGCTTGTCAGATGCAGGGAAGGTTACAAATAATAATAATTTGAGGACCCTACAACAGTCAAAAGTACATGCCAGTTGCCGAGCAGCTGAATTTGGATCACATGTCCAGGTGAGGATCCTGCAACGGACATAAGGATGAAAACTGGTCGCAAGTCACTTTTTTTTCATTGCCATTGTAACTTGGAAAGACCGCTAAGTGAAGCTATAAGTTGAGGACTGTCTCATTTAAATGAAATAAATTTGTTCGCCTCGGTTCTTTAGAGGAGAAGGTGATCGTGCTGATATAAAGGTCTAATGGCGAAGGGTTGTGCTCTCTCCACTAGGAATCACAGCCCACATGACCTGATTTACAAAAACACACACAAGAGAGAAAAGGAATTTTTGAATTACCTTCAGGCCTGGAGGGAGATTAGCAGCAGGAATGGTGCTAATATGGTTGGCCGTCAAAATCAGCTCTTCCAAATTGGGGAACTTTAACAAACCCACATCGATTTCCGTCACCTGAAAGGGGAGTTGACAAAATGTGCCTCGGGACACCCAGAGGTCAATTCGGATGACCCATATTCCCACAAGCAACCCTTTAGACCAGCTTTCCAATTCAAGCTATGTGTCAGCATTTCAGACAACCTCCACTCCAACCAATAACTCCGAGACAGAGAAACATCTTGTCAAAAGTTCTGTTTTAACTGCCTAGTAAACTGACACAATTGTGGAATCCCGAATCTGAAAGTTCCAGGCTTCCTTGCAAGAAGTAAAAACTACAAATCCACCCCCTGCACCCATCACCGCATCACATGCCCCAATCCCCATCCGTCCCAACTTGAGAATGTCCCCTCACCCAGGTGCAGATATAACATGACCTTGACTTAGGAAAAGAATGTTATTTTATCTAACTACATACACTCCAAGAAATCCCCCCCCTTCCATTTTCCCAGGCTCAAAATGGGGCAGCGTGGGAACGTCTGGTCTCAATATGGCTTCCAAAGCTGACACCATGTACTCGTCTCAGGTGATGAGATCAAATCTAACCAGCATTTCTCTCATTTGGCAAGCCAGCACACACACCCAAAGGAGAAAACCCTCCCAGCCATCAATCCAGTGTTCGGCAGGGGCTGCCAGCACATTAGACCTATTTTAAAGAAGGGGAACATTTCACCCCAAAGATTTGAGGGTCAGCAGAGCCCTCCCAACTTACCCCTTTGTTCACGATCCGGAGAGACCTGAAGTAGCAGCAGACGAAGCCAGTACGGACGATTTGGGGGTGTTGCACGGCCAGCTCCCGCAGCTGCTGCTCGGGGGGGTTGCAGTCGGGGGGCAAGGCCCAGGGGGAGTCTGGGCAGCGCAGAAACTCCGTCAGGGCTTCCACTGTCTCTTCATTGGGCGACAGGAGGCCATTGCGCCGGAGGAGAGTGACCGGTCGGGGAGCAGGCAGACCATGGAGTCGGGGAGGCAGGCGAGGTGGAAAGCGGGATTTGTTCTGAGGAAAGGGGGGCACAGAAGGGGGGAAGCCATTGAAGGGCAGAACATGGACGATGCCCAGAGTTGCTGCAGATGGCAGGCATCTGCCTCCTGGTGCTAAGCCCTAAGAGGGCCTCTTATTGGCCTGGCTAACCGTGGTTTGAGCAATAAGCCATGATCAGCCAAACGTTGGCATGAAACCTCAAAGGGCTTGGCTGTGGATAATGGGCAGTGAGATCTCCAGTGCCCCTCAGAATAGAATTCTTGATAGAATAGAATTCTTTATTGGCCAAGTGGGATTGGACACCTGAGGAATTTGTCTTCGCTGCAGTGTGCAGTGTGCGATCATGATTTATCACTTATTGCTTGCATGTACACGGAGCGATAAAGCGATAAATCACGATCATAATCATAAAGAGAGCTGTGAAAGTATCTACAGACCCCTCACATCCTGGAGATAAACTCCTTCCCTCAAAACGACACTATAGAGCACTGCACACCTGAACAACTAGACTCAAGGGGAGTTTTCTCCCGAATGCCATCACTCTGCTAAACAATTAATTCCCTCAACACTGTCCAACTATTTCCAAAGTCTGCCCTACTATTACTGCTAATCTTCTCATCACTCCTTATCGCCCATCTCCTCCCACTTGGGACTGTATGACTGTAACTTTGTCACTTGTATCCTTACGATTTATATGGACTGTTTCCTAGTGTGACTTGATTGCCTATGACTATCATTAAGTGTTGAACCTGAGGATTCTTGACTCTTGACGAATGTTTCTTTTCTTTTATGGACACGGAAAGCATTTACACCAAGGTAAATTCCCTGTGCCTCTAATCACACTTGGCCAATAAAGAATTCTATTCTTCTATTCTAAAAAAAGAATTCTATAAAACACAATCTTTATAAATCATCAGATACAGTGATAGCCATAAGATACGAAATAAAAGCAATCCACATAAATTATAAGACACAAACCACCAAAGTTATAGTCTTAAGAGGCTAAGGAAATAGGTAATAGGAAAGGGGGGAAGGATAACAGATTCCAGCCCCCCTCCGAGACCCTGCCCTGGCTTTCTTCCTGGGGGATACCCTCAAGGGTGCCCCCTTACCCAGCTCCCCACCCCGCAAGGAAACTGGTCCAGGCACAATGTGCGCAGGTGGTCCCAAAAAGCAGCCGAGGCACTCAGCCCCTCCATGGCATGGCGGCCGCTGCAGGACCGGACAGCGTCTTCGGTTGCTAGGATATGGGATCTGGTTGCTAGGGGTGCCCAGCGACGCCAGGGGAGGGAGATGCTGGTCTTAAAGGGGCCGGGGTCAGAGGGGGGGGTCTCTCCTGCAGGTTGCCAATCTGGGTTTTAAAACAGCCACGATCTGTGCCGATTTTACCCAACTTGGCCCATTTCAGAGGCTATCCTGGTACCGGGTTGGCAGGAGAGCTTACTAGAGATAAACGCCAGCAGTTGGCGCTCTCCTCACTGTACTTTCAACTGATAGATGTTTATTTTTTATTTAAATAAAATCATTCTGTGGTGTTCTTTCCGTTACGAACCCTTCTGAAAATGACTTGGCTGGTGGAAGGCATCGGATTGATGTCACACAATGCCCTTCTCAACAACGTTCTTCCTCTTTAGGTGCGTGTGGGGAAAAGTACCCGGAAAAATACAATTCTGGAATTTGGAGGCAGATGAATTAAGTTTAGATAACGATAAACTTAATTGTCTGAAGTTTATCTTAAATATATTCAGATAAGTTTATCTTAACTCCCCTGCCTCCAAACTTTTAGTCCTTTTTTTTAAATCTTACAGAACGTACAGCAGGAAAAGGCAAAGAGGACATAGGATGCAATGAAGAGGCATCAAATCAAACCATGATTAGAGATTCAAACACAATATACGTTAAACGGTATAGGTCACAACTTATGACCAAAATTCACCCCAGAATTTCTGTTGCTAAGTGAGAAATGTGTTGTCCCATGCTATGAATTCTCCTTCTCACTAAATGAATGTTGTAAATCAAGGACTACTTGTAATCCCAATGGATGCTATAATCCACCTTCAGTTTAGCCAAGTTTGTGTGGAATGGACAAAATCCTTCCCAAAGTAAGCCTACACAACACTCCATTTTCACAAGATGGACACTGGGATCTAATGGAGACCCTTCCCCTTTGTTTATCTGATCAATGAGTTCAAATAAATGCTCTTCTCTAGTTTGGAGTCAGCAGAATCCAAGGTTGAGGGTCTCTGCAAGGAAGGGTCAACCCAACCAAGATGATGGAAAGAACCATCCAAGGGTCGTCAAAGTCCCTTTTGGACACTATGCCCACCACAATCAGACCCATCTCGGGATATCGGACCAGTGGAAACTGGACTTCCAGCAAGTCTTTCAAACTGACAGCATCATGGCAACAGCCCCCAGATACCTCTGTCGAGGGTGATCTTAGGAAACTGATCACAATCACTCGCGCTTCGTCAAGAATAGGAAACAGATAGTCATCTTCCTCAGGAGGGAGCTTAAATACGGTGCGACCGACAGCCAAAGCAGAGAAGCCAACTCAGAAGAGGCAAGCGAAAAGCCGAAAAAGACTTCTGACTCCTTGCACTTCGTTCAGCATGCTTAAAGGTAAGCCCACATCAAGATTTGGAGTTCAATGGATGGCATCGTTTCATCCGTACGCACTCTATTTTTTTCAGCTAAAATACGTCTGGACTAGACTTCTACCAAAATCAACCCCAGGCTTTGAATCTGGTTTCAAACTCTCCCAAAATAAGCGCAGAAGCAGAGATGATTTGGTGGAAGATGCTGAGATGTCCAACTTTGGCAATTTGTAAGGTCTGCCGACATGGTTGGCTGGGGAATTCTGGGAGTTGAAGTCCCCAAGTCTTGAAGTTGCCAAAGTTGGACATCCCTGTGCATGGGTAATTAGAAAGCCCTTTTAACCATTAATCAAATAAAATAGGGATATTCATAGGTCTCGGGTACCAAGAGGGTCCTTCCTTTGGGGGCCTTGATTTGGGGAGTTTAAAAAAAGCAAAAAAATCCGCAGTGAAAATTAAGGTGGGTAAACCTATCTGGAGAGCTTCAGGATTGGGAAAGGGGTGTGTGATAAACAGGATGGGATGATCCATTCAATCTCTAATCCTGATCATCAGCAGTAAGGAGAAGATCTAGTTGGATGTGATCCCTGGATTAAATCAGCTTTCCAGAGATTGAGAAGCAGAGGAAGGGATCAGTTTTCAGAGGAAAGTGGAATCTGCAGAACTCCTGGGCTCTTTGGAAGAAGAACCAAACCACCGTTTTAAATCACGGCCTTGACTCATCATTCATTGATCTGCTTTCCCGACAGAAATGACCGTGCTGGTGATTGTCCTGTGGGGCACCCAGGGAATGCCAACTACACCCCCACCACAGCGAAGTCTCCGGGCGTTGATGGAATTATACTGCAAAGCAGAAGCGTTACTTCGAGACTATAAATCCGTAAGTACGCTGGACCGATGCCCCCTGCCCTGGTTGACTGTTAGAAGTGGAGACCCTAAACCCTGGGCAGATTCCTCCTTCCCGCTTAGCAGGCCAAACCGAGATGTCTTGTCTTTCCATCCGTCTCTTTCTCGTGCAAGCCCAGAGCTCCTTAGTTCTTAAGAGTGGCTTTGGGACCTTACAAAACTCCCCTTTTCCCTTCAAAAGCTGAGATGAGGCCATCTCTCCACCTTCATCAGAACGACAATAAAATGCAGTGGGTGGGAAGCCAACTTGAACTGACCCAAATCTTTGGTTCCATTTTTGTAGGTCGATAAGAAATTTTTGCCCCCTGAAACAAGACCAGTCCTGGCCTCTGTGTTTTCCCAACCGGGCTGCAATTTCACCGAAGCAGAGGAAGAATGCCAAATTCTCCGGGCATTTAACGCGCTGTTTCTCTGGATGCAGAGCAACTATCCCGAAGAGGAGCTGCTGAAATCCGTGAAGAATTCTTTCCAGTTTCTGATTAGGCTGCAGGAAAGCCATGTGAGACAAAGCTGTCCGGAAGGAGCATCGGCAGACAACGTTCCAGGGATCACCTGCCCCAAATACAGCAGTGACACGCCCGAATTAGAGAACCAGTTTCACTATGTTTTTGAGCTCTACAGAAACCACACTCACACCCTTTGGCGTTCAAAATTACCGGGGGAACAGAAAACTGCAGCTGAAGTGTGCGGAGTTATGCATTAATTAAGGAATTGCAACTGAATTTTACTAAATGAATTAATATAATTTCATAATAAAATTCATTTACTGTGTATTTCTTAGAGAAACAGTTCCATTGGTTTGGCAGAGAAACCAATTATTTTATTAAATTTTAATCTATTTAAAATATTTGAATTATCTTAACTGAATGAATGTATTTAAAATATGTTCTTGGGTGAGAGTATTTTTAATTTAAGGAATGCAGTTAGGGTGCTACTGAACATTGAATTTATTATTTTAAATTAATATATGTTAATTCTAAGTAAGTCATGTATTTAATGTATTTAATCTATATGCAATAAACAAATATGCAAAAAAAGAAAATGGTTCCTTATCATGATTTGGAAACTATATTTTTTGTTATTTTATTTCTGTTTTCCAGGATATTACTTATTCCCATCTGCTTATGTTGTCATATAATTTCACATTTGATTCTGGGTTTAAATTCCATCTTCTTGAAAATCATTCCAGAAGCTTGCAGTTCATTAATTCCCTCATTCGTTCATTTATTTATTTAGCATATATCTAAGATGTGTGACTAGAATAGAATAGAATAGAATAGAATTGAATTGAATAGAATTCTTTATTGGCCAAGTGTGATTGGACACACAAGGAATTTGTCTTTGGTGCAAATGCTGTCAGTGTACATAAAGAAAAAATAAAATACATTCATCAAGAATCGTAAAATGCAACATTTAGTGATAGTCATAGGTTACTAATAAGCAATCAAATCACACTAGGAAACAAATAAAACAATAATAAAGATACAAGCATCAAGGTTATAATCATAAGTGGGAGGAGATAGGTAATTGGAAGGATGAGAATAATAATAATAGTATTGCAGTTTTGGTAAATAGTTTGACGGTGTTGTGGGAATTAGTTGTTTAGCATTAGTTGATGGCATTCAGGGAAAAAACTCTCCTTGTGTCTACTTGTTCTGGTGTGCAGGGCTCTATAACGTCGTTTTGAGGGAAGGAGTTGAAACAGTTTATGTCCGGGATGTGAGGGGTGTGGAGATATTTTCACAGCCCTCTTTTTGACTCGTGCAGCATACAGGTCCTCCATGGAAGAAGGCAGGTTGGTAGGAATTGTCTTTTTCTGCAGTCCTAATTCCTCTCTGGAGTCTCTATCTGTCTTGTTGGGCTGCAGAACCAAACCAGGCAGTTCTAGAGGTGCAGATGACGGACTCAATCCTTCCTCTGTAGAACTGGATCAGCAGCTCCTTTTGGGCACTTTGAGCTTCCTGAGTTGGCGCAAAAGGAACCTTCTTTGCTGTGCTTTTTTAATGACCTTAGGTGTCATACAATAACACTAAATCAAAATAAATCAAGAGCTATACCATAACACAAAATCAAGGTAAAACCATAACAAAAATGGAGCGGTCGAATTGCAAGTGGGATAACAGAATAACAGAGTTGAAAGGGACCTTGGAGGTCTTCTAGTCCAACCCCCTGCCTAGGCAGGAAACCCTACAACATTTCAGACAAATGGTTATCCAGTCTCTTCTTGAAAACCTCCTTCCAGGAAATGTCTCCTTAGTTCTAGGTGGCTTCTCTCCTTGATGAGTTTCCATCCATTGCTGCTTCTCCTGCCCTCTGGTGCCTTGGAGAATAAATTGACCCGCCCGCCTCTTCTTTGGGGCAGCCCCTCAAATATTGGAAGATGCTCTCCTGTCTCCCCTGGTCCTTCTTTTCACTAGACTAGCCAGGCCCAGGTCCTGCAACCGTTCTTCGTATGTTTTAGTCTCCAGTCCCCTAATCATCTTGCTCTTCTCCGCACTCATTCCAGAGTCTCAACATCTTGGCAACCAAAACCGGGATGCTGTATTCCAGACGTGGTTCTTGCCAACGATGGACCTTGTAGTTAAGATACCTAAGCAAGCTAACCAACCTATCGCTTCTGGTGTGGCTGCGGTGAGACCATCCCAGCTGCCCTGACATTGTGTTCTGACCCAAACCTGGTTCCAACGAGAGCAAAC